GACTACCCAGAATTAAGTTCCCTTCTTAGTTATGTGTTGAGGGGCTTTTTCTTGGGGTGAGGGGAGCTGGGTTGGGGTCAGGGCATAACTCTTCATCTTGGGGTATAGGGCTTTCTAGTGTGTAGGATCTTTGCTTCTGTGTCCCCAAAAAGCTGGTACAGATAACAGACTCACTTTACGGCCATCTTGGATCTGTTCAAGGGAAGGAACATTAATAGAGCCCCCCTCCTATTCTGCTTCCCCTGTCAGGTCAGGTTCTTGTATGGATATCAGAGTGTAGACCCCTGACCCTCAGCCCCTATTTCTGGAAGTTCTCCAGTACCTTTGAGGCGAGGATAAAGACAGGCAAGGGTCAGTTACCTTCTTAGGAATAAAGTGGCTTTTAGGGGTTAAGAGAACAGGCAGGTTTTTCAAGTTCACAGTGGTGTGTCAGGTTCCTTCTGCACAGGGGAGGGCTCCCTGAATTGGGCGTGGAAACTGAAGGGGATTGACGAGTAGGGGAGAACTGAGGGGTTTATAAGCTCTCCAGCAGAATCTTGAAGCTGCTCTTTTGGGTTCACTGGGGAAACAGTGAACCACACTTGGACCTGCTTCTGGTCTGGGAAACAGGAAAGAGGCACACAAGGTTTTCCATAGATAGGCTGCCTGTCTGCCTCTATCCCCTTGACTTAAAGCCCTGGGTTCCTAGGATGGGGTGGTGTATCTTTTGGGGTTTTACTTCCTGTTCTAGCCTCACCTGCTGATTCCTTTGCTAGGGCGTGGCCTGGCCCTGGCATGGTCTCTGAAGACTCTTATCAGACTGGGGAGGCATATACAGGCTACTTGTGGTTACTTAGATGCCTTTGTGATTCCTGTCTGTGACCATCTCTGGCCAGTGGAGTCCTTATACTTTCAGGCCCAGGGAGGGCATGCACTGTCTCTCCACTCTGATCTGTCCTTCTGGAGACTTGAAGCAGGAGTAAGTTATCCCCTGCAACAAGTGCCATTCAGGCAACTAATCTCATTCTGCGGAGGACTGCCTGTTTTTCTTTCACTTTCACTAAATCCTAGGTCCTCAGAGGTGCCCCTAGGATCTGAGTGCAGTGGAGTAGAGATCTGGATTGATCTTAGAGCCAGATGGACTGCTTCATCCTGGTCCCTCGGGGAGCATGACAATATATTGTACTCTAAAAGTGGTACCTAGAAGCCTGGGTTTGTGCTTCTGACACACATACCTTTTCCTAGACTTAGCTGCACTGCCTTTTGTTTCTGAGACCGTGGACACTTAGACTTGTGGAGCTTCGGTTTCCTTGATGAGTTGGGATGGTGGTCTGAAATGCTCCTTCTGGGGAGAGGCTCTGGAGTGAACACTGGCCCAATGGGAGCTAGAATGAAGACAGTGTTGGCATACTTTGACATTATCACCAGTCTGTCTGCTCCCCTCCCAGAGTCAGGGTGTTTGGGGAGGGGGATAGAAGGAATGGAGCTCTGTGTGGATCTGGTCCTTCTTGCCTCAGGTCATAGTGTGAGGCTCAGAACCTGCTAGGATTGAAGAGAAGCCAAAGGTCTGCTAAGCCATTTCAGGGACTTCGGGGACCTGGAGTGGGAGCCTGGCTTCCCTTCCCACGCCCATGCTGGTTAGTATGGATTCCAGAGCAGTCCTAACTGGGCCCTGGCAACAAGTCAGAGGCCCTGTGAAGGCTTCTTGGCGAGGCTGGGTATGCTGCTTCTCCACAGTGCGATGGCCTTCAGCCTCTTGCTGGCAGCTCTGTTTTCCCCAGAGGAGACGTTTGGCTTTCTCCTGGCAGCGCACAGGCTGCTGGGAAGAGAAGAGGTAGTCTGCCAGATTCTTGGTGCAGCATGGAGTCCTGAGGCATGGGTGCAGTTGTCCTCTGGGAGATTGGTGGCCCATCCCCCTTTCACTAGACCCAGTTGACTCTCAGGAAAGGGCCTGCTGCCAGGTCACCTGAAGGGGGCAGCAGGAGCCAGAAGCCTCAGCCAGTCCCTTGACCTAAGAGGAAGAAGACAGGGTGCTCTGTGTCGGCAGCTGGTGGACAAGGGGTGACTGTCTCATGGCCTGGGCCCGGGTCTGTGCTAGCTGTTGTCAGCAGCTGGCTGAAGCGGTCCTGCCCACTGCCACTGTGGGTGGACCTGAGGAGAGGACCCCCTTGCTGAGCCCTGTTCCTGCCAGCCAGTCCCCTACGCCTTCTATCTTAAGGGGCCCAGGTACCCCAAATGCCAGGTTTCTCTGCTCTCCTAATGGCTTCACTAGCAGTGATCCCTTTTCTGAGGTGTGTAGAGAGGTGGGCCAGAACAGCCCAGCCCAGGGTCCTGGAGCCACTGGGGCCTCCTGGCCCACTGCTGTCCTTCTGGCCGACCTTGAGCAGAATGCGAGGCAGGGGGAATGTGCCCTTCCCGGGGCTGCCCCAGCAGGCCTGGCCCCACTGAAACCTGAAGCCAGCTGGAGCTCCAGCCCTGAGCTGACCAGCTGCATCACTACAAGGGTAGAAGCAGAGGCTGGAACAAGGGATAGAGTCGTCACTGAGCCTGGGCCTGGTAAGGGGGGCTGGCTGCCTTACTGCCATGGCAGCCCTGAGACTCCAGAGCCAAGAAGAACACAGCTGCTGACTGTACCAGGTGGGCTATGGGGCTGTGTGGACCCAGTGACTGAGCAGAGGTCACTTGACCTGTGGTGGAGAGGCCTTTAGGGTCCCATGGAGGAAAGAAGAGGGCCAGGACTGGCTGTCTTTTCAGTCTCACTATCCCAGGGTACAGGTCCCTGGCTTAGGAAACAGGGTTAGGGCCACCTTACCTTTTCTGTTCTCTTCTTTGGTCCTCTCCATTCTAAACACTTGGAAGAGCACAGGCTGTCTATTGAGGTCCAGGCCTAACTGCCTACTTTTCATCTTCAGACCTAAGAGCTTGTGCAGGTTCTGTCTCCAATTTGGAAGGCCATCTCCAGGGACCCAGCAAGGGGAAGCTTCTCCTGTCTAAACCCCCCCCCCCTTTGCTGGGCTCAGCCACATAGCCACACTGTCCTATCTTTGTCTGCTCTGTCCTTAGAGCCAGACAAGGGTTCACTTTGGGTAGGTTGTTCATTTATAAGACATCCCTTCCAGGGGTGTCTAGGTCATCAAAAGGGGGATTCTGTGTGTTATTTGGTTCTTGAATGGCACTCCTGTTTTGGAAGGGATATGGTGTGGTGCAGATAGCATTATTGGAGTCCCTTAGTGACCAGTGGCATGAGCTGGGGAATCTTGGGTTCACTTTAAACCTTTCTAGGCTTCACTCAGCCTTTTTTTGGGATAAAGGAGTAGATACTACATCTGAAATCCTGAAGGTTCTTTTTATCAACTATTAACTTAAAGGGTAAAAGGAAAGGGGAGAGGTTTCTCCTTGAGGCCCTTGATTTATAGACATACTACATGGCTTTGGGGTGGAAAGGGATCCCGGGGTCTGGATGTGCTGGGCTGACATCTAGAGCATAGCTGTTCTGTCTGGAGCATTTTGCTCAGAGCTGAGATAGTGGGGCTGCAGGCAGCTATTGGGGCCAAGGTCTCTGTTTGCCAAGTGGAGTCCAGGCAGGCCTACGTTTAGCTGGCAGGTTTCTGAGGAGGTCTTTGGCTTTCTAAGGGTGGAGGGGCCTTTCTTTTGTTTCTCTTAATGCTTGGTGGGGAGGAATGGGACGTTCTGTCTCTTGATTCCCTCTCTTAACACAGCCCGTTAAGTTTGGTACTGTTCACAAATATTGGGCTAGAATGTAGACTGGCACTAATTGATTTGGTATATTTCCATTAAGCCATGATAAGACAGAAGGTGAAACAGAGAGCTGCTGGTGTGAACAGCTATCCACAGTATAGCATAGTAGCTATATATTCCAGCATATATTCCAGCAGTGGTGGAGCTGGTACTTCTGCCATCAGGGGTCATTGGGCAGACTCTGGAGAAGTGAGTTTATTCACCTGCAACATAAGAATGAGTTGGAGGAGGCTGGAGAGATGGCTCAGTGGTTAAGAGCCTGGACACAGGTTCAATTCCCAGTACTCACATGGCAGCTCACAACTGTCTGTAACTCCTGTTCCAGGGGATCCAACACCCTCACAAAGACATATGTGCAAGCAAAGAACCAATGTATATAAAATACAGATAAATTATTTTTTAAAAAAAGAATGAGTTTGCCTAGTGAACCAGTATATCATGAGTGGTAGAATGATCCATCAGAAGCTACAGAATAAGTCAACGGATGATTGGGTGGTGTGTGTGTGTCTAGAGCAGGGGTGTAATCAAGAGCACAGAGGTGAGAGGGAAGGGACCTGGTAGAGCTGAGGCTGGTTTGGGGCAGGTGCCCTAGGCTGGCCCATACTTGAGTCTTCAGTGGTTTATCCGAAGGGTTCCAAATTACCCTCTTGATGTTGAAAAACTGTACCAAGGCCATGGCTGCAGAGTCAATACCTAGGGGTAGTTGCAGGTTTAGGGTAGGTGACTAGATACTGGGGGAGAACAGGGACTGGTCTGTCTGGATGGTAATTTCATTCTAACAAAATGAGCTTTTGATGGTATGTAAGGGGAAGTCCATGTTGATGGCAGTTGTCTCTGTTGAAAAGCTTGAGCCAGGATACTCTCCATCTGTAAGCCCATGTGGCCAGTACTGAACTTACAGATGGAGAGTGTTTGAATCAGTATGAGAAATGGGTTTAGGAGGGGCTAAGGTCAGCCCATAGCTCAGGGTCACTAGAGAGAATGGACTTGGAATAGGGCAATAAGGTTGTTTCCTTAGATAGAAGAATAGTGGCCTTGCTGCTAGAGAAGGTTGGCATGTGGCATTGTGGCCCTGGGAATCCCAGCTGACGGGGCTGAGTAACAGTGGATGGAAAAGGAGGGCGTGGAATGTGTAAAGGAGATGGCAGTGGTCTGCACATACACAGTGGGGAAGGGGTGGTTTCTAGTAGGTCTATGGGATGCATCCCCAACTGGGTATGTGAGACAGAAGCCCCATCTGACTCGGCTCTCACCTTCCCCAGAGCCCCCTTCAGTCATGCTGTTGAATGGTGACTGCTCAGAGAGCTTGAAGAAGGAAGAAGGGACAGCTGAGCTACCCAAAGAAAATGGGCTGGATGAGGGTGAGCCTGGTGATGAGACCACTGGACAGGAAGTCATTGTCATTCAGGACACAGGCTTTTCTGTGAAGATCCTGGCCCCTGGCATTGAGCCCTTTTCCTTGCAGGTAAGGTGAAGGAAGATGTGCCTGGAGACCAGGTTCTAGTATGCTGCTGGAGAGGAGCATGTTTGAAAGCCAAGCCAGTCTCTTTGCATGTGCTGGGACTATGTGCAGGAATCTGAAAGTCCTGGCTTTTGCCCAGAGTCTGGGCTAGCACAGTGGATGAGGCTAGGTTCAAGTCATTGCCCCATTGCTGCTGGTGTGTAACCACCAGCAGCAACTGGCAAAGCCAGAGCCATTTGCCTGGAAACCTTAGTGTTCTGTTACTTCCCCTGTTTTTCCATTCTCCAGTTGAGAGATTGTTCTTGTTCCTTAGAAGTAGTTTATGCCTGGGACACTGGGGCCAAGCTCTATCTAGTTAGCTCACATATGTCTAAGTATGTATACAAACACAGATGCAGGTGAACATGGTATTCCTGGATAAGACTTGGAGTTTTCATTTTAAGACCCAAAAAGTAACAAAATGGAGGACTGGAGAGATGGCTCAGAGGTTAAGAGCACTGGCTGCTCTTCCAGAGGTCCTGAGTTCAATTCCCAGCAACCACATGGTTGCTCACAACCATCTATAATGAGATCTGGTGCCCTATTCTGGCCTGTAAGCAGACATGCAAGCAGAACACTGTATAAAAATTATTATTTTTTTTTTTAAAAGTAGCAAAGTGGGTATTTGGGGTATCTATTCTAGGGTCCCAGGTACTTTGGCCTGGTAGCAAGGAGGTATACTCTTGCACCCTGCCATATAGTTTCTTACCAGAGTGGCCTTCTCCCTGGCAGGTATCCCCCCAGGAGATGGTGCAGGAGATCCACCAGGTGCTCATGGACCGTGAGGACACTTGTCACCGTACCTGCTTCTCACTGCACCTGGATGGCAACATGCTGGACCACTTCTCAGAGCTTCGTAGTGTGGAGGGTCTGCAGGAGGGCTCGGTGCTCCGAGTTGTGGAAGGTTGGTCAAGATTAAGCTGGTGGCTGTCAAGAGGAAGGCCCAGAGTTAGGACAAATAGCCTAATAGACCCCAGTACTAGTGTCTGTATGTTCCATCTGAGCACATGGAGGTGAGACCGGAGCATAAGTGTACTGCCCAGGATGTCACTCCCTTTCTTTTCTACTGCATGGCACACTTTAAAGACCAAGAGTCTCCCATTTTTAAAAATCCAGCCAGTCCCAAACTAGGATTGAAATCAGTTTATCAAATTCTGAAAAGATAAGTGTTGCCTCTTTAGGAACCTAAAAAGTTTTACAAGGTCTCTTCTCTGTCTGTTGTGAGGACTGTCCTGGAACTTGCTATGTAGACCAGAATGGCCTTGAATTTACAGCTAATTTGCCTGCCTCTGCCCCCCAGTTCTCTGGAGGGTGTCAGCCCCTTGCAGAGCCATATTGCTCTGATGTGGTGAGGCTGGTTTGGCTGTTCCTGCAGCAGCTCAGGCCCATGACTGTCAGCTTATAAAGAGCAGATGTGGAAAAACAGGGCACAGTGATTATGCCTGTAATCCCAGCACTTGGGTAGCTGAGGCAGGAGGATTGCTGTGAAGTGGAAGTAGTACCCTTGGGCTGCAGAACAAGACCATGTCTCAAAAAACCAAAAAGGAAAATAAGTAAATAACTTGGGGAAAGTCTGACTCCACAGTTGATCATTGAACCTCTTTTTGTTCTTGCAGAAAAACCATTACAATTCCATAAAACACACTACAGGGCATGTTGACTCTGGGATCTTGGGCTGTGGAGGCCCAACAGTTCCACAGGACTGGAAGTATCAGAACCAAAAACCCATGGCTCTAATGGGTTCTCCAGGGCCTGTGTGGGCTTCAAGAAGAGACAGGGGGTAGAAGTTCTTTGCAAACAAGTATCCCACTAGCAGGCAGACGGGTGTGTTTGGAAATCAGAAACGCACCTTATGTGTTCATCATATTGGAATCATAGTGGAATTTTGGGTCCTTTTTGTATTTCCAGACAGGGTTTCTCTGTGTAGCTTTGGATCCTGTCCTGGAACCCTTTCTGTAGACTAGGCTGACCTCGAACTCATAGATATCCTCCTGCCTCTGCCTCCCAAGTGCTGGGATTAAGGCATGTACCACCACTGCCCAGCATAGGGTTTTGTTTTGTTTTTTGTTTGTTTGTTTTGTTTGGTTTGGTTTTTTTGAGACAGGGTTTCTCTGTGTAGCTTTGGAGCCTATTCTGGCGCTCGCTCTGGAGACCAGGCTGGCCTCAAACTCACAGAGATCCGCCTGCCTCTGCCTCCCTAGTGCTGGGATTAAAGGCGTGTGCCACCAACGCCCAGCCAGCATAGGATTTTGTGTGTGTGCGTGTGTGCCTGGGCTTGCTTTCAACCTGATATTTATCTGAACTCCTGATCCTGCCCCCACAATTGTTGGGCATAGTTGGCTGACAGTAAAATTTAAAAATGGGGAGCCTAATTGTAAAATTCAGGGCTGGAGGATATAGTTGAGCAGTTAAATATGGTTCAGTATGGTTCCTGCTCTTCCAGAGGACCTGGGTTCAGTTCCCAGCACTTACATCAGGTGGTTCACAACAGCCAAAATTCCAATTATAGGGGTTCCAGTTCCCTCTTGTGGCCTCCACAGGCACCCTCATACATGTGGCATACAGTAACACAAAAACACATATGCACCTACACTTAAATTAAAAACAAAACAAATCTTTTTTTTTTTTTTTTCTTATGATTTTCAAGGTAGATTTTCTCTATGTAATAGTTCAAACTGTTCTGGAACTCACTCTGTAGACCAGGCTGGCCTCAAATTCACGAGATCCTCCTGCATCTGCCTCCTGAGTGCTGGAATTAAAGGTGTGTGCCACCACCTTCTGACTCTAAAAATACATTTTTAAGAAAACAAAAAACAATTTCAGTAGGCATGGTAGTCTTTGTGTGATACTGGCACTTAGAGGCACAGACAAGTATCACTGTTAGATCTAGGTTAGGCAGAGCTACATAAGACCCTGTCTTAAGCTTTGTCACTCTGTTCCAACTTGTAAAAAAGAAATTTTAAGCTACCCCAGGAGATGCAGATTCATGGTAGACCATTCTTAACTCTACCCTCAAACTATCAGAAAAGAAAGCTGGGCATGGTAGCTTTCTGCCTGAGTTTTGTTTTTTTTGTTTTTTTTTTAATTTTTATTTTTATTTTTAAAGATGCTGCTGCCTCCAGACAGCAGGAAGCAATTTTCTTTTTAAAGATTTTATTTATTTATTATGTATACAGTATTCTGCCTGCATACCAGCAGAGGGTACCAGATCTCATTCAAGGTGGTTGTGAGCCACCATGTGGTTGCCGGGAATTGAACTCAGGACCTGTGGAAGAGCAGTCAGTGCTCTTAACCTCTGAGCCATCTCTCCAGCCCCTGCCTGAGTTCTTAGTACTTTGGAGGCTGAGGCAATAGCACTGAATTCAAGAGTAGCCTGGGTTACATAGTTGCAGGGTAGCATAAACTATAGAAAGAGACCTTGTCTTAAAATTTCAACCAACTAACCAACCTTCCCCATCCCCCATGATAGCGCTCTGCAAATGTCGTCTTTGCAAGGCAGGTCTTTCTGGGAGGGCTTTGGTAATGTTCCACCCTCTTCCCTCTGGCAGAGCCTTACACAGTTCGTGAGGCCCGTATCCATGTGCGTCACGTCCGAGACCTCCTCAAGAGCTTGGACCCATCTGATGCCTTCAACGGAGTTGACTGCAATTCCTTGTCCTTCCTGAGTGTCTTCACTGATGGTGACTTAGGAGGTGCGGGGAAAATTGTGTCTTGGACTTGTACAGAGAGAAAAAAAAAAAAGGCCCGCAAGTCATCCTTACATGGGAGTTTTGGGGTGGCTGGAGTCAAGGCAAGCCAGGGCCGCATTGAGCCATAGAAATAGTTGGTTCCTGGCTGACCGCCAGCCTTGGCTCCCTCAGACAGTGGGAAACGGAAGAAGGGCTTGGAGATGGACCCCATTGA